ATCGGTTCAGGAAATAAGTGAAGAAGAGAAAGTGGCTTGGATTCGGCTGGAGCTCAGCAATGGAAGAGATGGGATTTTGGCAGAGGTTGTGAGGTTAAGGAGTCGGACGGGTTCGGCTCCCGTGCGCAGAGAAGAGGGATTGAGATGAAGAAGTGAAGGGAGAGAGAGAGAGAGAGAGAGAGAGAGAGAGAGAGTGAGGAACTAGGTAAGTTTGGTTTTTATTTTATTAATGCAAGTAAGAGAAGAATCGATGCGATCTACACGACCTGCTCTGAAGCAGCACCTACTGCAAGGTATGGGGCGACTGTAGCACATGATGTGTTCAACAAAACTTCGATCAGGTAATCATTTTAGCTATTTTTTATTCCTTTTTTTTGTTCTACCACAGAAGTCAACATTCATTAAGGCTAGTGCAGACCCATTGTTATAGAATAGTTTGGTGGGATGAGTGATCAGAGCTATGCCAAACTCAGTTAGCAATGTGCGAAGCCAAAGAATATCACATGTTGCAGTAGACAAAGCTCTGATACCTTGATAAAGTGAAGATCTGTAACTAATGAAACAGAGTAAAAACTAAAACAAATGATTAAGTAGTAATCACTATATGTAAGCAGTGAGTAGAAGGCAACAGTTACAATCTAATGGCTAATAGAAATGATCAGTCATCCAATGACTGTTAGAGAAAGTTCTGAAAAGTAATAACAGTATGTTGCAAATTAGTAGATCAAAGCTATGGCATCTCATCTTATGAAGGCTAATAAGAATGGAATCGGAAAAAAAATATGCTTATGTGAACATTGCTAGAACAAGAACTTGTGATCGTGATTAGAACTCAAAATTTTAGGATTTTAATAAATTACAGGCGAGTATCTTGTGTATAATGACTTTCATCTTGTTTACCTTGAACACCATGATAAACCTTTGACTTTGTAAGCAACATTCTCACTAAATAATGGTACTTGTATCCATAAAAATAACTTTTGTATATCTAGAACTTTCCCAAGAGAATTCTTAATTTTTGAATTACATTCTATGGTTGGCTATACATTTTGTAAAAAGATTTAACTATTTGCTTAGTGAAAAATCATTTTTTCTAGCTTTCACTTAAGCTAAATGTTCAAAAAATATGTCATTTAATATTTGACCTATAAATTAGTTCGAGCCACCAAATAAAAATTTAATCACTACATTGCCTTAACTATTCCCTCTAGGCATTGAAAATATCTATCAATGGAATTCTTTGAAATGACATATTTCCTACCTTGTTCTAAAACTAATGATGTTTCTCAAATTTCTAGATTATTTTTTAAGGAAATTATACATTTATATGGTCTACATGCAACCATTATGTCTTATCAACATATTAGATTTATTTCATATTTTTGGAAGACTTTGTAGAAACCATTAGGAACAAATTTAAAATTTTCATCTGCTTTTTACTCTCAAATGAATGGGCAAATAAAGATAGTGAATCAAACTTTAGAAAACCTACTAAGGCATTTTGTAGGTAAAAGTCTATGAAATTGGGTCTTCTATTTACCTACCTCTAAACTTACATAAAACAAAACTACTTTTAGAGCTAGTAACTCATCATCTTTTGAAACAGTATATCGATAAAATCTTAAATAACTTATTGATGTGACCAACCTCTCATCTCATGTATTCTTTTTTCTACATTTTCATTTGCCAGAGGTTTTCAAAGCTCCCATGATACTGTAAAACAGAAAATTACATCAAGTAATAATAAATATGCTTCTAAGCAAATCATAATAGGTCAATAAAAGAAAAATTAAAGAATGAAGCTATATTTTGTTTCACATCTTCCTTGAGCGATATCATACTACTATGTTTAAGAAATTACATATAAGGGCTTATGACCTATTCAAAATTTTTTAAAAAAATTAGATAAAATGCTTATCGTCTTAATTTTCTTGTGAAGATGCTAGTTCATTATATTATTAATAAGCATATTCTATCATACGAGGGAGTTAACAAACCTCTAATTATCTAGTCTGACTCTTTGACAGGAGATATAATTCCACACTTATGAACTATCTCATTTAAAAGTTGAATATATCATCACAAATTAAGCACCTATTCACATAGTCACAAAGCCATGATTTTTAGTTTATGGGAATCATAAACCACCCATAGATAACACATGACTAACTTAGATTGATTTGGAGCCCCTTGCCCTACAAATAATAGAAATTTTTTTAGCTTTATTCTACATAGCAGAGTTCAACTGAGCATAGGGTAGTTGATTTGATACATTAAGTGGAAACTTTAAATTAGTCAACTAAACCTATTACAAGAGTAAGAACAAAGGCCCAAGTTAGCAAAAGTCAAAGAGCTAGAGCCCATATTAAGGCCCAATAATAAATTTATTTAAACATAATGTTATTTTTATTTTTATTTTATTTTAAATGACCTTAAGAACATGTATGGCCAACCTCTTTAATGAAATGCATGAAAAAAAAGATATTTAATGAAAGTTGGAAATTTCCACCTTCATTAAGAAATCAATTCCTCTCTCTTTCCCTCTAATTTTTTCCTTCAAAATAAGAAAGTTCAATGGCCTTTTTTTGCTTATAAACAGGAGCTAATATGTAATAACATTTTTATTAGTGAATAAATTATTTTGATGGAGAATTAATCTTTATTTGTTGCTTGATGGCTTCAAGAGTTCTTTTCTTTGATGAGATTAAGTTGCTATCTATTTTTCTTAATCTTAATTTTTCACTCTTGTTATCTAAACACTTAGTATCAATCTTTCTCATATTTTCCTTATATAATAATCATTTAACAAGATAAACCATCACTTAATTGAATATTACTATTACTAAAAAAAATCAATTTGCAGCTCTATGTCAAATCGAACATAACTAAGACAATTTTATCCCCTTCCTTTTAACTCATTCTTAAACTTCGCCAAACCTTACTATCTACTCTTAATTATTAGTCCACATCCTATTCTAACCATCCACTATCATTTTTCATAATTTAACTCACTTAACCTATTTCTCTAAAGAGATCTTCAAAATCAACCCAAATTAGCCCAAGGTAGACCAATCTTAAGATGTCTATTATTTAACCTATCTACACTCCTAAGCTTTTCAGTGCCCTCCAAATCACATCTTTTGATATTAAAACAAAGTTATATGACTTTTTCTTGTCATTAATCTAGCCAAATTATCACCCACCACTATCATTAACCTTAGTTTGTTCAACCATACCAAGGGTAGGGCATGTTGACATTTTTCACACTTGGTTAGATAACTAGTTATCTAAACCAAGGGATCTAGATATTGGGGGCCTCTTGCTCAGTGATGACTAAATGTCCTAAATTGACAAGGCTTACTCAATTAATTAAATTAAAAATAATTTGTGCTAGGCAAACCCAAGTATCAAGTGTCAATTGCATGTTCAAAAGTTGATTTCAATATGTATAAACCTAATCATTGTGGTATAAGCAAAACTTATGCCACACTATTTTTGGAGCCTTTTAAATTAGGGCTAAACATTTCAAATAACATTTATTTTTATACTTGTCAGAATGATTAAAATGGGATAGTTAAGAGGTTGCAAATGTTGATATAATTGAAGCAATGTAAATAATTGCTTTTAATAGTTATTATCATGTAGGTTTCTCCAAAATGAGGCATTCTAAGAAGAATCATTAAGTCTACCATATTGATATTGGTTGACAAATCTGGAATAAAAAAGAGTAATAATTTCCTCAACACTGATAAACTTTGAGGCCTTACTTATAAGATCCACCACACTCTAATCAGTATTTTTTGGCTATGATAAATTTGAATAATGAGTCCCTCAAGATGAAACTTTTATTACGTCCGGTGTAAGGACGTAGAGGAACGTCCGGTTGGAGGCAAAATCCTGCCAAAAAACTCGGTATTTGCTTGGTACAACTAGGTATTATTTGATATTAACGAGGAATACCGCTCTTTGAAGACCAATACCGAGCTGTACCGAGAAATACCAGTACCGAGGAATACCGCTCTTGGTACAACCCGGACGTTCCTCTGCGTCCGGTCGGAGGACGTAATAATTGTTCCTCAAGATGAGGGCGAGCACCAACTTGATAACATATGGGTGACATCACCTACCTTATGGCTTTATCACAAAGGGATTATTTCTCCTTCTACTTGATGCTTAGTTGAGTGTCACTAGCATTCAAGAACTTAAAATTGAAGACTAAGGCAACCAATAGCCTTTACAACCTATCAAAAGTGTGGATAATTCTGAGAAAAAGATAAGAGAACCACCTGAATGCCAAGCATTAAAGCATCATAAGAAAAACCCAATAATTAATGGCTTCTAATACAATATAAATCATAATCATATCCTAATTGGCCAGATGTTCAACTAGATCTTTCAAGCCTTTATAGTTGTATAGTTGATGGCTTTTGAATTTAGATGAACTATCTCCTCCATGATTTTAGAGGAGAAAGCAAAGGAAAAAGTAAGTTTTGACACTAAGTAGTTATAGAGTCAACAATTAAATTATTATGTCGCAATTACTTCCCCCTACTAGCCTTCAATAATGACCATTATTCTTGGAGTAAGAACAATAGCACTAACCTGAGCATTGTTCTTATCAAAGTTGATCAAAGGATTGATTTGTGCATACAATTTCACAATATGTACTTAAATCACATAATCAGAATTTACATGTATCTGATTTGAACTATCTCTGTGAATTTGAATGGATTTGCAAAGATGAGAAGAGCTGGAGTCTCTCTGAATTTGTCAGAGTTGCAATCCCCTGTGATTATTTTCATTCGATTTGATGGTCTAGTCTAAATGAAAGACCATGTGTGAATGCACAAAAAACCCCTAAGGTCAAGAGGGTAAATATATGGAATGCTATATATTCTTCACAATCACAAAGAAAGAATGAAAATTTATGATAATTTGATAATAATTTGTCATGAGGGCAGTCAATTAACTGCAGGCATTATCTGAAAAGAGAAGAAACATAAGCAAGTAACATGAGTCATATGGTCAAAAAAATTTTGAAAAAAATTAATGCGTACCGAATTACAAATCATCAATCAGCTAACAGCATAGTAACACCATGAATGTAAAAAATTGACCCCAGCTTTCTGGGACAAATTAGAAACAACTTCTTGCGTTTCGTTTGGGACAGTTTTCTTTCTACTTTCTAAAACAGTTTTTTATTACAAAGATTTCTAATTCAAGAAATTTTTGCACTAGAAAGTCGTTTTAAAAAGCAGCAAAAAAACTGTCCCAAACGAAGTCTTAGAGCTGAAACAGAACTGCTACACGACAGCTCAACTATGCCAAAACTCCTGAAACTCGCCATTCTCTTCAGGAAATCCTGGGCAAAACAAATCATCAATTAGTCAAGTAAAGTGAGTTTCCTAGCAGAATCTAACCGCACTTTCTCAATGCCACAGCTTACTGCAGAAACCATTCCGTGGCCTCTTGCAGTTCACAATCTCCAAAAAGGCATCAAGGAGCTGCCCAGCCAAGCAACTAGGCTCTTCAATAAGGGTTCTGATAAATGTGATGACCACCCAACGCTCCTGCTCTGTGGAGCTGAAGCTGAACCAAGTTAAAAACTTCATGCGAAAATCCTTCTCGATATGTCCCAAACACTCCAGCCGTCTTATCACATTCACACAGTATTCATAGTTGTCATCCAGATTACTTGAGCGAAATGAGAATTCATGTGGTGGTGCACTAACTAAAGTGCTATCACCATCACAGCCATCTGTAAATCCATTTGTCAAGTTCTTCCTACAGTCCGGCTGGGATTCAACTGCTGGTACTTCAACCACCCTTACAGCACAAGTATGGCAATTTCCACTTCCATTTGATCTTTCAAGACCGCTCTTCTCTAATGTGCATCCATTCTCCTCTGGTGAGAATTCCATGGGAAGACTAAGATCATCATTAAGATCAGGAACTGATGCAACATTCAAATCAAGCTGATGCGGAACAGAAGCCTTCCGTCGATCGTCGTCAGCATTAAGGGGCTTTGCAACACCTCCTCCTATATAGGATTCTTCTTCCACATCATCCTCTTGGTATAAATCATCGGAGCAACCTTCTTCCATTGCCCAAGCTGGTCCAAAGATCTTCCCCAGATTCCGAACTTTGAATCCAGAGGACCCAACAATTGGGTTCTTTGATTCTCTCATGTTATTGATTGAGCATCCGCCTGTCCCAGTTTGCTTTGTGTCTTTATCAATTACCTCCACACCTCTGGTAAAGCACTTAGATTCTGTATGGCCCAAATTTCCATCGTCTGATAACGAAATAATTCGGAAAACATATTCTGTGCACGGCTGAAGGTTTGGAACCAAAATTCTTTGTTGAGATCTTGGGATAAGCACAGGATCTTTCTCGATCATTTCTTCCCTGCTTTTGCAATAACAAAGCTTGTAACCCTTGATAACATCAGGTGCTGAAGAGCACGATACATTTAAAACAATCACGAGGGAGGAAGATGATATCTCTTCAAAATGGAAAGCACAGGCAGTAGGAGGAGAATCTGCAAGAGAAACTCAGTTGTTTCATAATTTAAATACATAAAATAACCATATTTCAGACATAAAGATGCTCCAAATTGAGCCCACCTCTGTGCTTTGCAATGGAGCCGTTAACAGAGTTTAAAAACTCTTCTGCTTTCATGATTGCAAAAGAACATTGACTTTGCAAATCATTGACCACAGAAAGCCTGCTTACATTACCACGAAATATCCTAGCTGACATTCCATTCAAAGGACCAACTTCTGTCTCCATCATTCTCATGGCATCCTCAACCATTTTATGCAATTCTTTAAACTTAGAAGTGCCGTTCAAAAGTCTGTAACTAAGAGAGATGCGATAGAAAAGAATGTCTACTTGGTGAGCATCTTTTGCCACGGCTAACTGCTGCTTCCAGAACCTGCAACAAGCAATTAGTTCTAACATACCTCCACACAAGTATCAAGCAGCAGATTATGCATTACAGGCTTTCCCACTGAAGTATTAAACAATTTATCTTACTCCACTAAAGCCAAAAGTAACCGTCACCATGATCATAGGACTTAACTTTAAGATGAATCATAGACATGATTGGAAATTTTGATCAATGAAGTTTACCTTGCAAAAAAAACTAAAGCATTTTGAAACTTATGATACAAGTTAGCATTTACCCTGGTTAGAAGTGCTTCAAAAAAGTAAGATGGAATATAGAAGGAATTACAAAGTTAACTGACGAAGCAAGCTAAGGTTGTGAATGCTCTTAATGATGTTTTACATGTTGAGAAAGGCAAGAAAACTCTAGATATTGAATATTGTTTGTATGATCCCACCTCAAACTTATTGTAATGGCAAGAAATTTTAATTCGAAAATTTTCTATTCTATAGATAACCTGACTGGATAAGACCTTCGACTCAAGAGACCCAACAAGTCTAGTTGGAAAGAACCACATTAGGGTGACACCTTCGTGAGTTTGTCCAGGCAGGCTCAACTGACCAACAACTATATTAACAAGCATCGCCCGATAGGAAAAGATGACAGACGAGTAAGCCAACTTAAAAATTGATCAAAAGATGGATAAGCTACCTTCTAGCCAACTGATTTTGGGCAAATAAGTCAACTTGTTTGATGGCAAGGTTGACTTGAAGCCTATTTGAGCTGGCATCTTAGATATGGCTCATTGAGTGTTTCGGTAACCAGATTAGACAGGATGGATTTAGTGGACAAACACTTGAGTTTTGCATAGAGAATGGCATCCCAAGCTCTCAACTTTTGCCTGTCTGACGGCTAGCTCCGTAAAACGTGTCTCAACCACATTCTAACATATTGACTAGAGTCAACTTGTGAACTTAGAGTGAACCGTGTTTGAAGACAGGAATTGAGAGAGATACCACATAACATTAATGATTGTTAATAAAGGATTGAATAGGAAGATGCAACATATAAAGTAGACCTGGTCCCTCTGAGTTGTTATCGACTGTGAATTAGATGTCCCCAATGCACCACTATAAGAGAGGTGATACTCTCAAGGTTACTCTGCATAAGAACGACTATAGAGGAAGGTCGTTTTCTTATATCTCATTGAGTGAATACTAGTGCCTATATACGAGGAGACATTAAGAAAACAAGATGAATAGAATAACCCAGAGAATATTCTCATTTATGAGTATATATTATAATAATAAATTATCTTTCAAATTTATTAATTTCCTACAATAACACTCAATGAAGCTAAATCATATATAATAATAATTAATAAGTGTCATCTTATTATAAAGATTAGAAAATGAAGAGATCTATGAGATTTGGTAAAATTATTAGCTAATTTTTCTTTTTATTACAGACTAATCTTTTTTATAGGACTGCATCTCTAATGCAGTGACAATCCACTTCAAATATTTAATTTTTTCATAGAAAATAGGATTTCTTGCAATGCAGATAGCCATTTGATTATCAAAATTACGAATCTTTAAGTAGTGTTACAAGAAAGCTGAGGCAAGTGAATGATCATCTGTAAATGATAGAATGAAAGATGTTCCAAGGGCCAAAAGTGGATGCCAAATATAAACTTGTAAGAGAAGAGAAGTACCAGAGCAAAAGGTGGAACTGAGAGATTAGGAGAAGATGTGGTAAGGAATAAAAAGGGTAGTAGGGCAATGGTTCATAAGAGATTACATCAAAAGAGATATAAAGTCAATGTTTAGTTAAATTATAACATTCCAAGCCTTTCAAGTATTAGAGATAATAGAAAAATACACTTAAAAGCACAAGAGGAAATTTTATTACATTTTGGATGAAGAAAATGAACAAAAAAAATAGTCAAAGATTCTGAAAGTGGAAAATGAAAAATAGGTGTGCAACCAAAATGGTTGATAACATCATTACTTATGTAACAACCAATGAAATGACATCTCCCCAAATCTATAATGGAAGACGTAAGTGAAAGGTACAAGCAACATCAATGAGATGTTTGTTTTTACATTCAACCGCACAATTTTGTTATCAATTATAAGATAATGATGATTGATGTATAATACCAATGCTAAAATAAAAAGGTGAAATAAATATTACATATAATTGAGAATAGTATCAATGAGTTTTTATTTGAGAGAAAAATTGAAATAAATAATTTTATTTTTGTAAAATTACTTGAATATAAGAAAAACTTATGACTATCACTTAAAGAAATAAAATCAAGTAACTCTAATGTGTTCATAAATAAAACAAATAACAATAACAACATCAAGCATTTATCCACTACGTGGGGTCTACATGAATCCTTTTCTTCCATCGTGTCCTATTAAGAGTCAAATTCTCATTTAAATTTAATAAAAAATATTATTTCTAATACGTTTTAACCAAATTCTTTTAAGACTACCTCTACCTTTCTTAACATAGGCATGAACTAATGCATCTACTCTCCTAAACAATCATCAAAAGGCCGATGTTTTATGTGACCAAAGCATTTAATGTGAGTCTATCTAATCTTACCTGCCACTGAAGCTACTCCAACTTTTTCACATTGATACTCATTTTGCATTCTATCTCTAAGTGTAAAGTCACTCCACTAGAGCATCCTTATCTCTACAACAATAAACTTAATTTTATGCTTTGCATTTAATAGCCCTGCACAATAAAGCATTGAAGGTCTCACCTCTATATTATAAAATTTTCCCTTACGTTTGAGGGGTACTATTCTATCACAAAATAGACCAGATGCATTCCTGCACTTTAACCATCCAACTTTAATTCTAGCAATAATATCCCTATCTAATTCACATCGCATTGAACAATAGACCCGAGATATCTAAAACATGCACTCTTTTTAATGACTTGATCACCCAATATCACAACCTCACCACTAGATCTATTACTGTTAAAATTACACTCCATGTATTCGGTTTTAGCTCTACTCCAACAAAAACCTTTAGACTCTAAGGTTAACATTCATATTCGAGTTTTCCTTCAACTCCCTCTCTAGTCTTATCAACAAGAAGAATATCATTAGCAAAAAGTATACACTAGGGATAAATAAGACAAATAAAATAGCGAAAAAATCAAATAAGAGATCACAAAACTTAGTCCTCATATATCTGAACAAGTCATGGAACACTATAAGAGGATGTAGATACACAAACAAAGAGACCCGATAGTATTTACCATACTCACTAGCTGTGCATTCTTGAAAATAAAGGAGTCATTATAAGTGAAACCCCAAATATGATGCAAGGCAGGATAACATAGATAATAATGCCACTGATAAAGTGAAATAGCAGAGGAAGCACTAGAGGCAACATTAGTGAAATAATAAATCTCTCTAATTTCAACACCTCCACCAAACATCTTCCAAAGATCATAAACAGTGAGAAGGATAAAAAGGTGAGGATCAGTGATCAGATTTAATACAACAATGCATGAAGAACTCATGAGAGCAATCCAGATGTTCAGGATGGTAGAGTTGGCCATCAATTGAGCTTAGATAAGTAGTAGAAATGAGTGAAGATCAAAAAGAAACTTGGAAAAGAAAGACTCTTCATTTTATTTTTGCTAAGTACTCTGATCAATGATGATAGGAGGATATTAAAGAAATTTTCCCAATTTGTGTTTCAAAATGTTGTAGTACTTTTAAATAGACTTTTCACCCTATTGTAAAAGAATGTTAGAGTAAAGGGTTTATAAACTTGAGATGTTATTGTCCATAGAATCTGTTGATTGGAAAAAGCTCTACCTTCTTTTTGTCGTCTCTTGAAACAGGATGATAAAATTAATAGTTATGTTCAAAACTATTGAGCATTCATATATAAGGGTGGCCATCTAACTTAATGTTTGTGAGTGGCTTATGATCAACTCATGTGTGGCTCAATCATTAATTAAAAAACCTAACATTAACACAATATTTAAGTTTGATCCCTAATGAACTGAATAGAAGCAAAGCTTCATACATTTGTGTTCAAATATGTCAATATATTTTTTTAAATATGATGCAAATTAAACCAGTCTAATTTTGGTATGTAGTGTTAAGTGTTGCCCTTATATGACAAGGTCTTGTGTATGATTCTTTTATCTTTCTTTTTTTCAAAATAATGAAAATCTATCTTTTGAATTATATGCTTGTTTGTTCATGTTATGATCACAAACAAAACAAATAATAATGATTGACCATGATAAAGTAACATCAAACATTAGAGAAAACAAGTTGAAAAGGAATAAAATGTAATAAATCAAATTTGAACAAAACTTCGTCCATTTACGTTTGATTTGTTTGCAACTTTACATATGAGAAATAACATAGTAAAAAGCTTGTCATTTAATGTATTTAATATTTCCATAAACTCAGGAGGAGAGTTTAGGTGACCAAATTTCTCGTGAGATTTTATGAGAAAATAGAATACCGAACACCACAAGAAATAGTTGGCACAATTTAGTTTGATAGTTATATCAAAAGCGTATGATGGTTTTCTCCGAGAGAGTATTCAAGGAACATTGATCAATGCCACCAAAAGCAAAGAAATGAGCACAAGGACTTACATAAATCATAAATCAAGGCAAGGCATTGCACGGAGATGAGCTAACAAGAACAAGTGCTTAAGAAAGGGTAATAGTTGTGTGGACAAGTATGGAAGCAGGCAAGTGGGTAAGTGCACAAGCATGCCAACTTCCCAATGGACACTAAGCAAATGTGCAGGTACTATGCAAGCGAGCAAGCAAATAGGAACTATGATTGTATTAAGTGTTAAGGGTAAAGGTGCATAGGGTAAGAATAAAAAGGTTGTGGGTGGCGAAATCAAGAATGGATGATTGAGAGAAAAGGGGGCAACAATGGAGGGAAGGGGACAGCTAGGGCAAGAGCAAATCTTGCTTTGATGCCATCTTATAAAGGAAGCCCCTTCCTGACATCTCATTAACCAAGTACTAGTGCATATTTATTGAAAAAAATGAAGAAAATAAGTTAATAAGTAGGAAACTATTCTCACTTTTGAGAATATGTTTTAGTAATAAATAGTTCTAATCTAATACTCTCCTATGAGTACAAGAACTATGAAGCTTTATACATTAAGTTTCATTCATGTTACTCAACAACTTTTATGAGTTAACTAACATATCTATGCCCATGATCGTTAACTAGTAAGTTCACACTGTATGTTTTCATGCTACCAGATAGCCTTCCTTACATGTACTTGCATACTTGAAATTTATGTATGAAAATGACATGCACTATGAAATGTATGTATCTGATGACATATATAGAAATGATGCTTAACTTCATACGAATTACAGTGAGCAGGTCTCGAGTGTAAATACTCTCATGTAATGGTAGTTTTCAACACTACAAAGATGCCGACTTTCTAATTGGGGGATTGATAGGGTTATGAGGCATGGCCACATAAATAAGCAACTCGAAAGAAAATGAATAAATGATCATTCTCATGTCATCGCACGTATATAATGCCGAAAAATTTATACCACCTGGTTCCATTGATTAGCTTCCATGTTCATGATGAAACCTTGATTATGTGTTCGCCATAATCAAGGCTTTATAATTATTAATTCATTGTTTTCTCATAGTTACTATCTAGATGACGGGTGAGCATAAGAACGTGTAGTAGAGAAATTTCAAAGTTATCGCTAAGGGGAACCAACAGGTCTTATGGAAGTCCAATCTTGTAATTTTTGGCTCTGCCTATAAGGTAGCAAGGTCAAACTTATAAAATTACTTGAAGTTCTAGAAGAATTTAAATTTATTTATTTTAAATGTTGTCCTTAATTCTACTTTATCTATGGATACTTCTTAATACCTGATTTGAGGGAATGGACGAGGAGCATAAAAACCAAGTTTGGGCAACATCATGGCTTATAGTTTTTGGTGCCGACTTAAAGACAACTATAAACATATGCTCACTTCAATCCATTTTGAAGATATCCAGATGCAAATGATACAAAGGATGTACTAGCGACTGTTTACCATGAAAATGCAAATTGGAGAACCAAAAAATTGTAGCAGTTTGACATGCAACCTTAAATTACTACAATCAAATTAAATGAAAACCTTAAATGCATATGCCCCGAAAACCATAAAGAAAACATGAAAAAAATACAATATGGAGAGAAAAATTATTTTTTAGCATGATCAAATAATTAAAAAACTTACCCTATTATATCAGATACCTTCCCACACGAAGCACAGCAGTAACTACCATCAAGCTGCATAAATTGACCATGATCAACTACACCTGCTTTTTTATGTTGAAGGGCACATTCAATGTGGCAAGACAATCCACACCAATCTCCATCACCAGACTCAGATCTGCAGACCAACCAAAGACTAGGGTCCTTCTTGTCATCAAAAAGGTGGCAGACGCAGCATGAGCACTTTCTACAGAATTTATCCTCAGAGCTCAGAATAGCTTTGCAAGCAGAATTTTTACAAGACAACATAGTTGCCTGATCTGAGGATTCTGTTATAAGAAGCCGAACAGGATTGTCACACTTTCTTGGTTGCTTTTTATAAGCCTGGTTACTTGTCGAGTTAGAATTGTTTAACTGCTTTGAGTCTAGAATCTTGCATCTGAGAGTTGACTTGGATAATTCAACACCTATTTTGCATTTTGATGAACACTGTTGCTTCTTCTCTTTCTCGAGATTTGTATGTACAAGTTTATTCTTTGGATAACATTTAACAAAATCATTCAAATTATTTGCCGTAACAATCTCATCAGACTTTCCATTTTCTTCTGGGGCATTTATGGCACTAGAAGATGTGTGTGAATCCACCGCTGGAAAAAAACAATACCATGATTAGATATACCTAGAATACACTAAGCATTTCAAAGTTGATTTCTTCACAACAGATACCAACAGTCTGATATATTCTTAACAGAAGGAAGACAACAAGGAAAAAAAAGGAGGCTCAAATACCTCAGAACAGCTCAAATAAGCTAAACTAATGCCATCAAGTACGAGTTTGGTGTATAAATGTATGTCGAAATCTAAATCTCAAATGAAAATGATAAACGTCAAGTAAAAATAATGTAGCACCAAGAATATCCATACATTAAAGAAATTTATATCTTAATAGCCCCTATTTACTTGTGATCAAGCTTGAAAAGAAGAAAACTATTTGTGCTGTGACAGCTGGCACTAAACATTTTAGTAAATTTCAAATGTTATGCATAATCCTTAAATCTTTGATTAGTTATCTAATTTATTGAAAGCAACACTTTATTTAGATGAATTTTTTTTTTTGCTTTACTCTGGTCCTAAGGATGGGCTTATTGCCCTTAAGCAAGTTGTTAAATGAGTGACTTCAACCAAGGCCATGTTTACAAATGAGAACTCTTTAATAGGATCATTGCAAGAAGAATCCATAAAACATTCTTGAAATTCTTCTTATTTCAAACTGAACTGCGACAAATTTTCACTTATTAATTTCCTTCTCTAATTGTATCTCCTTCAAACCATGTATTTCAACAAAGCGGGACATGAGTAAAAATAATTTAAAATTTATCTAAATGAAATTTTGTTAAGACCAATGCTTGGATGTCACTGATATAAGAAGATACCAATTATAGGTTATAAAAACTTTAGCTGTGCCTCCAATAAAGCTGTTGAATGCCCATTAGCATCAAGGACAAATGGAATGCCTATCACCAAATGAAAATAATTCACTATCATAGTTTAAATACATACTCCAAGGATTTCAGAATAATTAGCAAGGAGTTGAAGGGACGCATGATTATCAGTAATAGAGAATCATCTATTCCAATAGAAAATAAAATACAATCTCGAGTGCATGACTGCAAATGTAGAATCTGAAAAAAGGCAACCATGGACCAGAGAGTCAAGTCACTTTACATATCCAAACTCCACCGTCAGGAGCAATATGAATATTATGTGACTGCACACTAAGTATTTGTGAAATATCATAATCCAGGACAAAGCGTAAACCATCATTTTAAATTATGCACACTAAACTATATCTATAAACCATAATGTAATGGTTGGATGTTTTGGGTGCAAGGAAAGGCCTTCATGATGGCTCCATTACTTTCATTGATATTATCACTAATGTGGAGTCTTGAATGATGTTAGTGAATTAAGCACTTCCCATTGAAGGTATTTTCAAAAAAAGCATGACTACTGTCACAATGCACGACACTTGGGTCCAGTAACTTTGTTAAGTAGTAAGTAAGACTTTCATCCACATAATCAACACCTCAAGTTCCAGACTTCAACTAGAATTAGGGCTTCATATACAACATTTGTACTGGTTATAGGTAGTTGAAGGGTACAAATGATTATGGAGTTAATTTTACTTAGTTGATGAATCAACTATGGTAGGGAAGGTGGAAACATTAGCATTAGTGCTTCATAAAAGTGGACTCAATAGGTATTATTGATAATTTGGTACAATAAAAAAAGTGAAGGAACTATTTTTCTTAGCTGATGCATCAAAAATTATTTCTATCAAATGGCAAGAGCTACTAGAATAAGCACAGCACTCTTACATAAATGCCAAATGAAATCTCTTTTAACAATTCCCATACCATTAATCTCTCATCATTAGCCTTATCCCATTATTTGGGTTTGCAATAATGAATCCTCCTTCTACATTCATGCTTGTCCAGCGTTAAATAAGGTGTAGATGCAATTTTGAATAAAACTTTTTACATAGTTTCTACTGATTTTAATTTTGGTATATCTTGTTTCAATCGAAATACTTTCATGTTTATTGCATCTACTAATCTTATTGGTACATTTTTAAGAGGTTCTACTCCTACTCCCATTGTTTCGCTGATGTAATCAAATCACATTCTATCATTTCTAGTTTTACAATAAATTTATTTTAAGTTTCTCATTTTTATTTGTAGAAACAAGAATTTACAAGAATATATATATATATATATATATATATATAAAGAGAGAGAGAGAGAGAGAGAGAGAGAGAGAGAGAATTGCCATTTCAACTCTTCGTGACATTCCATTATGGAATAGTATTTCTTAAATAGTCATCTACTCTAATCACACTAATTCAATAATAAATATTTTGTCTTCATTAATATATTATTTTTATTTAATAAATATAATATATTTAAATATATCATACATAGTGTTTACCCATACACTAAAACACATAAAAAGAGGTGAAATTGGCGACTCGAGCGATAGTCTACGAGTTCGATGCGCCACTTAAATGGTCAAATGATCTCTGATCGCCAAATGGACTGCGCCAATGCAATCAGAGCGTGAAATCTACCTAAGAGGGAGCCCCTTGCAGACAAATCAAAGAGAGAATGGTTAAAATCGGTGACCAACACTAGATAATGACGCGCGACATTGCTTAAACAATGTTCGATCGCAAGACAAGTTTCATCGTTACGTTCGGAATGTCAAAGTCACCTTAAAAAAGGGTGTAATTTTGTCCAATGAACCTTGAGCAGCAAATTCGGCATAGGGCCCAAGGCGATGACATGCAAATTGAGATATGAAATTCATTTTTATTTTCATTTGTCTATAATAATAATAATAATAATAATAATAATAAAATGGAAAAAGTAATTGTTCGGTTCCAACGACAAAGTCGTTCCCTAATTCGCTCGATCCACACTCTATTTCGTTGATAAAACAAAGATGAAACGAAGAGCTTCATCTCTCTTATATGCACACGAACTCCACTCGATCGAAAATCCCCCTATCTCTAGATCTTCCAACCCGCTTCTTCTTCCTGCACATAAACACCGAGCTACGCACGAACCTCCCGCAGCCCTTCACTGTGCCGACATCTGATCTTCCCTATTCGAATTCCCTCAACCGAACTCCCTGTTGTTCCATTTCTCCCAATTTCCTCATTGTCTAACTGATCCTCACAACAATCGACCCCGGCTGAACATGCAAACCTGATCTCCCTCCACATGCAAGTCGAACACCCACAGGTCGACGCCTCCTCTACGATCCGAAGTCCTCCAGCCCACCCATCACCTGCTTGCTTCCCGCAATCCCGATCAAACTCCACCTCTCATTTTCCCCTCCCGATACATGACACTCACACTCGATCCGCCTTCACCTTCACCTACAGCACCCGATCCGATCCAACCTCACACAAGTCGCCGACCATCCGTCACCCACACATCAGCCGATCAAAACCCCCACCAAACCTCCAAACTCACCTAACTTCCACCCTGCTCCGACCCTCTACAGCCCAACCTCTGATTCCCTCCAGCCACAAATCACCAGCTACACCCGATCCAACCTCCCATCCGAGCTCTCACACAGCCGCAAGATGCCTCCACCTTTTCCCCTTCACATGGGATCCAAAATAGCAACTTCTTTCCCTAACTGCATTTCTCTCCCTAAGCCTATCATGCATACTTCAACAACAGCCCACTCTAAACAGTCCACCAGCCCTCACAGCCCACTATACTAGACTAATTTCCCTACTGTCCAGCATTGGGCCTATGAACCACTCAGGTCTCTAACTCGTAGATTTAGCCCACTCAACCCTTTAACCCACAAATCCAACCCACATGCCTATAGCCCATTTACCAAACAACCTACTTCACTCCAAACCACTTCAATCCACAACTCCTACTGCACTTCAAATTACCCTCGACAACCAAATCAATACAATAACCACATCTCTCTCTCTCTCTCTAAATCTTCATCTTTGACTCATCTATGAAAACCATAGCCGTAATTTTTCTCGACACCTACCATGCATGTTTTCATAGCATGGAGGGAAGGCCTAGACTCCAAAACATTCCCCTAAATGGGGGAGATGTCGAGAGACTAACGAAATGTGGACTGAAAAATGAACTAGACTTGAACAATAAACTGGGAACAAAACTCAAGTCAGTAAATAGGGAACCGCACTTTAAACTAATAAATGCATGACTACACTAAAACTATAAACGCTAAGTAACAAAACCAGATTATTCAAATGAACATCAATGAACAAACAGGGGACTCGTGGCATGCAAAGAACAATGAACACACAAAGAAGTACAATATCCTGCATATGACTTGAACATGAACATAATACTTGCATAAATATAATAGCTCATTTAAGGGAGGAGGGAGATTTGTAATGAACACACAAATGGGAGGTAAGATAATTGCAATGAATGTCATGGTGTATTAATGAACAAAATTTAGGTGAGCAACAAATGCAAAACCCTGTAGTCAATATCAACATACAATCAAACACATTAAACCCTGCAAGCAGTAGAGGTCGACATGCAATGAATTGGTAACCAAGATGAATTTGAGGAGTTTGAAATAATTGCAGCCTGCATGCAGTCAATATCACTTAACTGCAAACAAATACACCAACCCGCCTACAATCAACAATGCTAGATACGTTGCATGTGTGACAGATCCTCTATAAACACAGATACACGCACAATATACTATCTACAAACAAGAACTAAGAGTATATAGCAGATCAAGCACCTACAAGCTATTGTTAGTTATTCGTCATGTACACGGTGGTCTGTCTGAGAGCTAAGATGCTCGCCTGCAAGAAACAATGAGCAACCCGCAGCGTAGCATTACGACATATCTGCATGCAATATTGGAGGATGTCGCTTTGAATACACTTCACCAGTATATGATGACAAGTGACTCTTGAATGTCAATTGATGACCTGCGAACTAATTCAAAAAAGCTTGTGTGGGGCAACAACCTTGCTTGCAAAAAGCAATGAGCGACCCGTAGCACAACGCTACGACCCACCTACAAGCAATATTAGGAGATTCGCGCTAAACATAGTTCGCCTACA